GGTTTTTTTTTTTGCTTTGCCATTCTGGCTGCCCCGTTTTTTTGTTTGTTTGTTTGTTTGTTTGTTTTGCTTGGGGCGGCCAAAAAACCAGAGCCGGCCCTGGTGCCCGTGGGCCCAGCACATGCTCCCTCCATCCTGCTCCCATTGTTCAGAGCCTACCTATGCTTTGGGGAGTGTAGATTTTTCATCTCTCCCCTTTCAGGGTAGGAGTTGAACTCTCCTCAGTGTGTCTCTCAGTTAGTGTTGGAAAACAATCCTTTTCTTTGACTGTAACCCCGGCTCCTGTCCCTTCTGGGATGGGTGACTATGTTTAGTAATTTACCTTGACAGTAAGATACAGTAGACTCAGATTCTAGGGTCAGTTCAGGCCACCCCATAAAGGAGAGAGGACAAAGGCTGAGAAGTTACTGCAGGACTCATGGAAGCCCAACGGCTTTTTCTTAATTTAGACTGCTAGGGCCAGTTGACCTCAGCACTAACAATTATTTTCCTGTGGAAGAATGTGCATGCAGCTCTTATGTAGTTGGGCAACAGTTCTCTACATGTATAGACTTTGTATTTCATTTCTGTACACAATATACCTTTAGGGATACACCTTCAGGGGACTAGATAGTTCAAAAGCTTGATAACATGATATGAAATCTTTCTCCTCTAGTTTGCTGGTTCAAATCCAGATTAGGTCAACCAAGGCTAGTGTGTCTTATGTTGTAGTTTCACAGACTGAGTTCAACAGGCTTTGGATCCAAAGCCAATAGCTGAGGATCTCAAAAGTACTTTACAAATAACAGCCCTGTGACATAACTTTTACAAACATTAAATCTTTTACAGATCACAGAACTGAGGCTGAGGGACCATGGGCCCGATCCAGTCAGTTGCTATGGGGAGTTGAAGGTGCTGAGTGCTACCCAGCACATTCCAGTACAAAGCCTTAAGTGACTTGCCTAGAGATCACACATCAGTCTGTCTGGGAACCAGGAATAGAACCTCACCTCTCCTCTTCCCAAAATTAGCAGTAAAGAAATTTTTTAAAATGTACTGTAACTTTTAGCACAGCAGAACTGCTTTAAGCTTTTATTATTATTTATTTAAAAACTCAACCACTAATTTAGTTTAATTATAAAGCAGCTGAAAATGAAGCACTGATGCAAGCCATGACTGTGGTGAAGACAGGGCAAAGAGAATAATAAATTTATACAGTAAAATACGTATTTGCATTTGCAGCATCATACAAACATTTCCACACCCCAGAAACACATCAAAAGTTGACAAAAGCATTGAAAATTTGTACTTTTTGCTTAGACAAACACCACAGTTATGAAAATCTATTGATACATATACATTAAACATACAATTTCCTGTGTATGGAAACTATGGCCAAGATTTTCAGAAGTGGGCAGTGGACATCCAACCCTTTTTGAAAATTAGAACCCTTTAAGGCATCTTACAGAGAGAGAAAGAGAGCGCGCACGTGTACAAGTAAATACTGTTCTTTAAAGATAGGATCATTGCAGAAACACAGGAAGCAGTGGTTAGACATGTGCACATGACAGGTAGTCAAGAGTTCTGGGTTGTATTCATGGCTCTGCCACTTTCTCCCTGTGTGTGACATTAGCAAGTCACAAAACATGTTTACCCTCTATTCTGAAAGTAACTTCCTAAGAATAGCATTGTTTCTCAGCAAGAGACAATTTAATGAAAAAATGTGAACTGCCAGACCTGCAAATTCACCCTGGTCAAGTTGTGTTCTTCCTGGCTTGCATATTATCATCAGAAAATGGAATTTAGAGATGTATGTTCATGATACATGAGCTAGAATAAAATCTAGTTCCCTCTCCCATAATTTTGCAGTGGTGACAGAAGTAAGATACATTTTAAGAGGGGGATTATTGAAAAAGAGTTTGCTGCTAACCTAACTGCTCCCACTGAAGTCAGAGGCACTTCCATTAAGTTCAGTGGAAACAGAGTTAGGCCAATGCTTAGTGCTTTGGAAAAATCTTTCCCAAAAATGAAGGGGACAAAATATTTTCTCATTAAAGCAAGCAGCTATGGCTCAAAAGACACACAAAGACCAAGCAAATCTGTTGAGCAAGATGTGCCATTTTTGCAGAGCCACTCTTCTGCCCATAAGTGCATTTCAGCCTCTCATTCCCTCAGAT